TTGAGTGAGAATAAAAGTAGAGTGTGGTAACTGTTCCTGAAAGTACTATTCTTTTTATTGTTTTAATGAAGTCGAGTAAATTTAACCTACCTTTACTATAATGAGTCTTTTAATTTAAAATCTCAGTAAAATAGTCCATCCATCCATTTTCTGTTACAATTCATCTGCTGGGGTCGCGAGGGCTGCTGGTGCGTGTCTCCAGCTGTCTACGGGCGAGAGGCGGGGTACACCATGGACAGGTCGCCAGTCCATTGCAGGGCAACACAGAGACAAACAGGACAAACAACCATTCACACACACTCACACCTAAGGAGAATCTAGAGAAGCCAATTAACCTAAACATCATGTTTTTGGACTGTGGGAGGAAGCCGGGGTACCCGGAGAGAACCCCTGCATGCTCAGGGAGAACATGCAAACTCCATGCAGAAAGACCCGCAACCTTCTTGCTGCAAGGCAGCAATGCTACCCACTGTGCCATAGAGCAGCCCGCTTTTACCGTCCATACCCTTTAATTAGTTAAAACATCATTCATTGCCTGTTAAGACACAAGATCATTGTTGGAGCAGTAAAACTATATTAATATCTGCAAATCCTGAAAAAAAAAAAAAGAAATAAATCACAGGTTTTAAATGTACAACTGTACAAAACATTTATTTGAACTTAATGTAAAAACAGCTTTGTTGTATTTACATCACTTGCATCAGAAATCCATGACAACCAAACAGTAACTCTGGAAAAAAAAAAAGGCTTAATGGTTTTCCGACAATTACAGAACTTAATGGAAGTTAACTGAACAGCTTAGACTTGCACTAAAAGCATATAAAACAGAGATATTAAAAGAAATCTACACAAACACAAAAGAAATGATGCACTATGAAGTGAACAAGAGAACCTGTTCCTTTCTCTCCGTTCTGCTGCCAACAGGAGAAATCAGCTTAAAAACGGATGCAGCAGATGAAGAAAACAAATTTAGGAGGGCTGGGTTCAGTCAATAGAGCTGGATGCAGTTTCATAGTCAGTCAATAGATGGCAGTGCCAGCACTGTAGCATATATAACTCTAAATCTGTGCTTTATACATAAAAAAATGCAGAAACTGGGCATAAACAACAACAAATAAAGCAGATTCTGGTTGAACAGTTTTTTATATCTCATTATATTCCATTTGTTTAATGAATCCGTATGTATAAATAAAACATCTATAAGACTTGCATGCACTTTTGATGCACATGTACGTGTGCATACAGGGAGGATTTTATAAAGAAACATCTGAGCTACTTTTCAAATCCAGGAAAAGATTTTCCTTCATCTTACAACCATAGGAAACAATCTGTACCTGCACCCATCCCAACAAGACAGGAGACGAACTACTTCTTCAGTCGGTTATTTAAAAAGAGAGTAACATCTGAAGATCATGGAAGAAAACTGGAAAAGAAACATTCTGCATTAGGTGTTAGGGGAAAAACCTTCTGCACCGTCCTGAACGTGGAATCAGCAAAAAGTGGCTGATGAAAGGCACACGGATCACATGGACATAAAGACGCCAATTTGTCAACCAGAACTTAGTCTGACGAGCAGGAAAAAAAAAAAGCTACATTTTTTTTTGTCATTTTAGAAATTGAAAGGATCGGATCTCGAATCGTTTTCACCCTGCAAGGACGTCACAACGCCGAGGCGATTGTGTGCATCTTTAGGGTCGTTTTGGCAAAGGTATAAATAAAAAGAGATAATCTTCTAAATAAATATGAAAATAAATAGGAAACGATCAACAAAAGCTCTGATAGAAATGTCCTGCAAATTCCTTCAACAGTGTTTGAGATTGAAAACACTGAACACATAAAGACCGAAGACACGACTGGATGGGATGAAAACAGCTTCAGGAACAAAATGGAAATAAAAAAGCTGGAAGAGTAGGGATGGATGTTAGTATGGGAATATTTTCCCATTTTAGTGAGAAAAATATTCATGGACTAGAATTGATGGTGTGCTAAAAGAATCATCAGAACACATTGAAACATGACCTGTTTTTATGCTCAACATGTGCCTCATATCAGTGCATTAAACAGGCACGGTATTGGTGACACGTGCGACGCCACTCCTTCTAACCAGTGTATATATCTGCGCCTCCTGGCTTTCAGTGTCCGGCTGAGCGTTTCTTTACGTCAGCAGAGAACATCCAAACCTGTCGGAACACAAAGCTAAAGCCTTTGGGATTTTTTAGAAAGCATACTTTAACATAGTTTCTGTCTTTAATGTTGTCGAGCGTTGCTTTCGTAGTGAATCTTCAGCATTAGGCGAGTAGTCAACAACGTCAGACGGCTGATCAGTCTGCCCCATATGTGTTTCTCTTTTTTTTTCTACAACTACTGGCTTTTTGAAAGCATGGCTTAACAGCCACAGAGGAGGTAAGCCTGTTTGGGAGACATAGTGTCCGACGACGGTGTCCGTGTGGCTGTAGTTTGTGCCGATGGTGAGCGCGATGCATTTACTTCATTGGCAGTTCACCGTGGCCGAGGGTTTCAGGGCGTTTCCGCGTGCTTGTAGTAGCCCCTCTTGAGGGCCGAGTAGGCGATGCACTCGGCCGAGCGCCGCTGGTCCATGCTTAGCAAGGCCTCCAACAGGTCGTTGATGTCGGCCTTCAGCCCCTGCCTCTGCATCCAGTTCTTCAGCAGTTCGTACACTTTGTCGACAGAGGGGCCGCTCTCCGCGATGCGGATGTGGTTGTCGCTGATGCCGATGAGTCGGAAGAACTTGTTGTGGATCCGGACGTCCAGGTACTCGTCGAACAAGTCGAAGCTCTTCCTGAGGGACCTCTCTGACCCTTTAAAATAAAGAGGACATGAATACTGTCAACAATACGATTTACTATACCAAGTCTTATCTAAGAACTGACTGATTTTCAAATGATTATGTGCCACACAGAGTGACTTTTGGCACAAATAATCCCTTCAAATGATGAAAAGAATCTCTATTAAATTTATACCAGGACTTTGAGCCCAAAACCTTTATTTTGTGTTGTTTTTTTAACCAACTGGAGCTTGATTTTCTGGTGGGTTTAACATATCCCAGGTGTGCTCAGGCTTTAAGCCACAATAGGATGGTGAGACATTTACTCTACAGATTTCCTTATATTTTGGATGTTGATTCAGGTTCTGTTGTGACCTTTTTGACGAGTGTCCAAAGCGCCCTAAGCGTAATAGCAGTAGGCTGTTCACCATTTCTAGTCTGACAGCAGTCATTTTGGAGCAGGATGGATTTATCTTATAGTCTATGTAATCTTGTCATGTTCTCTTTAGGTTGATATTATGTGCTTCCATGGATTTGGCAATAATATAATCCAGTGTTTCCCAACCTTTTTTGACTTGTGTAACCTGTCTGGTATTTTGTCTTACCATGAGTAGCCCCTTCTCAGTCAAAATTATAGCTGATTGTCTAAAAGTGGAACAAACAATAACGTTTTATAATGCATATATGCATTTTATTCTTTCCATCTCAAATCGAAAACCTAACCTTACAGTTAGTACGGAATCGCAATATATACAAAATCGTATTAAAAAACCTGTATTTATTAAAACTGGAGCTCTGCTGTGTAATTCCCCTATAACCACATTTAAACTTGATGAACTGGGAGCAAAACTTATGAAATTATAGTCAGACTAACGTTAGTATTACTTTACTTATTACTTAGTTTTAAGTAATTTAAGTAAGTTGAGCTCCAGTACCTCAATATCAGCTGACACCAGACTGTTCTCTACATCATACATGTTTGTCTGCTCGGTTTGGATGGTTGTCAAAGTTAAAGATGAACTCAAAGAGAAACTGACTTTTTGGTTGATAGAAGCTTATTTAATTTTTGATCCTCACAAAGCAAAAGAGATCCCAGCCCTATTTTATTTTACTACCTAAGAAATAACATATTGTCATGTACCCCTTGTGGCTACTAAGGGTACGAGTACCCCCGGTTGGGAATCACTGATTTAGCCGACTGAGGCTAGCTAAAAATGAACCAAAGATATGGTTCATCAAGTGCATTTTTGATCAAAAAGGGGAGTAATGGGATTTCAAACAAGGGTCAGGTTGTTTTAAATAGATTTATTTCCTCTTTAATAAATAAAATCCGCATTTAAAACTGCCATAGCATATTATTTTGGTTATCTTTGTTTGATATATCTTTTTTAAATGATCTAAAACCTATGGCCATATAAAAAAAAAGATCTTTATGGGGTTGAATACTCAGTCAGAGCACTGTATAACTCTCAACTGACATTTTTCAGTTTATGTTTTCTTTCAATAAATGGCTAAAACATTTTATTAACATTATAAAACATTTTCTATTTTCCCGTCATATATTAACATTAAGGCCATTGAAGAATCTCAACTATAAACTTTCATTTCTAAAGAGATCCTCTCCTCTTCAATTTAGCGTGAGAAAAAACAGCAGAGAAAGTCAGCATGTTCTCAGCCCCTAAAGGCTCAGATCAGGCCTGACTACCATAACATTGGCAATCAACCACAAGTGGGAGATCTGTTGTGATGTTTTATTTTTTTCCTAAGTTCTCTGCGATCTGGCATGGAATGCATTTCACTGGGCAGTTTGTGTGTAAGCAAAATAAAAGGAAAACTATCCTCCTGATAAGTGATGGAAATGCCTTTTAAAGGTCAAAGTCTCTCCTTCCTGCAGCGAGATTCTTACCGAGTAGTGGCACCAATCGATGTCCTAAGGGGTCATCCTGCAGCGCACCCAAAACAAAACAAAGAGAAAGAGAAAAATTATAGAAGTGTTCAAAGGTGTATCATTTAAGGCTTAAAACCACAAACTGGGGATCATTTGATAGATTAATGCAAACCAAAGCAATACCATACAATGGAAATTAAAATTAAAACATAATTAAAACAAAAATGGAGAGTAAATTTCTTTTTAGTCCCTCCACTTTAAGTAAAAAAATTTAAGATTATCAGTGATGATCTCAGCAGCTCATCTAAAGTCACCATAGGGCTCTTGCTTGCTTCTCAGACTAATATTCTCCTTCTCCTCTGGTCTTGGTAGGTTTATAAAGGTGCTATAGTCTAAGCTAAGGACATTATTTCATAATGTAACCCTAAATTTAACTTTACAGCTTTGTCTTGGCCAGTCTGCTGTGTTCCTCCTTCTTAATGATGCTTAATAGAACAGCTGAACCTATGCAGCGATGAGATTACACACAGGAGGATTAAACTGACTGATTAGGGAACTTCTAAAGGAAACTGGTTGCACTGGATTTAATTTATTTGCTATCATATAAAAGCGGCTAAAAAGCATCAATATTTCTCAGTCCACTCCCAAATAATGCATTTTGATGTTTGTTAAGATGTCAAGTTCTGCTGCTCACCGTGTCTGAGGGAAGCTGTCTGAAGCCAGAGGGGCTCTGGTGTGGGGTGTTGCCAGAGGAGGCAGCTGTGGGCAGAGCCGAAAGGCTCGTCTGAGACGAGCTGGTGGTGTTGGGCAAACTGTCGCCAAGTCCGCGGTCTTCATCCTCCAGAGGGGGGCAGGGCTTTGTCATCCCCTGGGTCTCCTGCAGCAGCGGTCTTGATTCTGGGCGGGGCTCCTCGCCCTCTAAACCTGCGTTCTGATTGTTCTGTTTCTCCTCAGCAGTTGCTCCACTCTCATGCTAACCAAGACAAAAAAAGAGGGAAATATATTGATGAAATGTCTGTCCAAACATATTTGCAAATGGTTAAGAAAATAGACCAAAATATGACCAAATGCTACTTACAATGGGAATCTTTACAATTTCACTGGAGTCACAAGGGGTCTTTGAACCTATTGAGAACCAGAAAATCGTTTAATGGCAAGAAAAGTCAGCTAAATGTTGATGCTTGGTTGTCACAAATTACATGGACTTACATGGTACATCACACGAATGCTGCTTCTTTAAGAACCACAGAATGGATGCAATAACGACAATGACCATGATGCAGATCAAAAACAATAAAACAACAAACCCTGGAAGAAACCAACACAGATTAGAGAGAGATTCAAGCAGCAAAACAAGGGAATATTTGCAAACAGGACGCCAGAAAATTACAGGTATTTGTTGAAGCATTGGGAGCCACGGGCGGCTTTGGTGCGACGGTTTCAGTGGGAGACGGATCCCGCCTTCGGCACTCGGTGTTAGAAAAGGGCGTGCACTTCTTTACCTCCTCCTCACCCGGTTTGCACCTGAAATATTGAAGAAGAGCAGTTGCCATGGGAACATATCAAACAGATGCTGCCTAAATATATACAGTTTTTTTCCCTCTAGAAGCAAAACGTACTACTTCATGAAATCCCAATAAAATGAGGTTTGTGTCATTAACGTAAGGAAATGTGAAAAAACTCAATGCGTATCAACCCTTTGCAGCATAACCAATGCCCAATGCAGGTAATTGTTAGGCGACACTCACTTGGCACAGCGTTTGCAGACTTCACAGGCCTGGTCAGGAACACAGAAGGTACCAGGTCTGCATTGGCACTTGGTGTCTGTGGTGGTGGTGCAGGAAGCAATTTTAATTTCATCTGGAAAAGAGGAGACAAATATGGTGAGGAAGCCCAAAGATGGTGACTCTGACTCAGTGTATTTCTCGTGTGGGTGTGAAACCGCATTTGGGTCAGCTTGACATGAACAAGGTTTATCAATGAGGAAAGAGAAGCAAAGCTAGTGTCTTTAGCTTATTTATAGCCAGTTAGTGACTCTGCTGCGACTTCCTCTTTTACAAAAGAAAAGGTTTATAACTGGGTTTTCTTCTTTCATTTGACATGAGAAACTGAGAAACCACCTTGGTCCTTTATGACTTAAAAAATGTGATCAAATAAAAACTGAAGAAAACATAAAAAGCAAAGCAACGGCCCATCTTCACCATACACTAGTTCTACACTAGGTCAGTGCTTTGGGAAATATAGAGGGAAACTCTTTCTTTGTTCCTAACCAGGGTATACGGGATAAGCAGTTTATCTGCAGCCCAGAGGAGGATATTGGATAAGCTCATCAGGAGAAAAAGAAAGCACTATAAGAAAAACAAGATCCCTGTTGGACAATGTCTCCTATGCCATACCTCAAGCCGATTATGGTGTAGGAGACATACAGCCGCAGAGCTGGAGAGCTCTTTCAGTAGCATCACAGATGCTCAAAGAAGCGCAGCTGCAGATCCTTCCTCCCAGCTGCTGATAGACTTTAAAATCTCTGTTGCTCCCAACAAACTCAGTGTTGACAAACAGCTACCAGTTCTACCGATTGTTGATCAGATCCAGAATCATTTACGCTGTTTCAAATGCTAATGTCTACTTCTATCATTTTGAGCTTCTTAAGGAGTGTTTGATTTACAATCAGGTGTATTTAGATTTATCGTTTTTTTTTTGTTTTTTTTTCTTTCTTCTATCAAACATGCTTTAAATCTGTTAATATTTACAAATAATTTTTTCCTTTCTGTAAAGTACATTGGCATCTGAAGTGTTGTATAGTAGCAAAGTAAAAATACTTCACTACTGTACTTAAGTATATTTTGGAGTACTTTATACTTTCCAAGAGTATACATTTTTTTGAGAACTTTCACTTTTACTTCACTACATTTACGAACTTAATTGCATACTTTTACTCCAATGCATTTTAAAGGTTTGGTTTAGTTACTAAGTAACAAAAAAAAAACAAAAAAAACGAGCGAGAGAGCAAGAGAAACGCGAGTGTTTTGACCCCACCTACTGACTACAAAGTCGGGTCTTGTCTGGGCTTGTTCATCAACACCTATAGGATACACCTGTTTTGCAAAGCCAGTCTAAATTTATCCTACACTTGGTTGTTTATATTATTTTAAGTAAATTTAACCTACAAAGTTTACCAAAATGTAAAAAAAATGTCATTCAAACTGCACTACTTTTTACTTATACTTTTCACTACATTACATCTATTTTTTACAGTAATTCGTATACTTAAGTAAAAGCCATTTCAGATACTTTAAGACTTTTACTCAAGTAACATTTCAGTCAGTGACTTGGACTTTTACCAAAGTCATATTTTGGAGAGGTACTTATACTTTTACTTGACTCCGAGATTGCAGTACTTTATACAACACTGGGCGTCTGATTTACTTTTAATTTGCCTTCTGTTCATAATTTATTCTCATGTATGACAATACAGGTATTTCTATTCTATTATCACTCACTCCTTACTTCAGCAAAAAACACCAGAGTACTTGTATTTTTTGTCCTGATTAATCAAAAATAAGCCTTCTTTTTTCTGTTGGACGTCACCATTTTGTTTAAAGGTGTTTTGCACTTGCTGACCTTTCAGGTCCAAGCCTGAAGATTCTTTTCACCCTACAGGTTAAAAGATTTAACTTTTTGAGGAGAAAACACAGGATGTTTTACCTTAAATATCAAGGTAAAAAAACTTATTTGTCCTTGTCAGAGGGTGAACAGACTCCTTATGGCGGCGTGCACAGAAAACACCAGTTTTGTGACAACTGCTGCTCACAGCATAACAATGCCTTTCAGTGTTAGCGTTTCAGTGAAGTACAATAATACAAATTAAATTACACTGCTCCAAAACAGAACAATCCGAGTTTTGTTTAACTTCATTTTTTTTCAAGGAACAGTCCTTTAAGAACTGCGAGGAAATGTTATTTACTACATGGCTGTTTAAGTGCTGAGAAGTTTAAGCCCTCTAGCATCTGACAGTAGTGTGGGAGCCGCAAACTTTGGAAAACAACAGATTAACCGTGAAATTGTGTTACATAAAAAGCCGAAATGCCAACAGTTTTTGCGTGTGCTTGAAATGCATTCCGTACATTTCTGAAAAATAAGAACAAATTAGAAGGCAGAAATTTTGAAGAAAGAGTGGAGGTGGTAGGGGTATGCTAGGGTCATGATGCATCCCGATTAAGAGCATCAATAGGTATTTAATCCAAGCTAAAGAGTCAGCAGACTGTTATTAATTGTTTTGTTTCTTTCTCAGCCTGTATGAATACAGTGCTCTATAAATAAGTGACATCAATGTGGCATTAGAAAATAGAAAGCAACTATGCTAATTTAGTGTGACATCATTTCTTCAGTTGGCTCCATTGTCATTAAGGAGAACAAACAGAAAAACAGAAAAAAGTAAATTATAGCTGATGGTGCAAAAATGAAATATTTTTAAGTCGAACCGTCGTGCCGATTTTGTTCGTCTTGTAATCTGAAACTTGTGGGTTTGATTCCAGCTTCCTCTTTCCATATATGGATGTGCCCAAGGGCAAGGCATTCAAGCCCACCCTACCAACCTGCATATTGGTTATGAATGTGCAAGTATGACAGAGTGAACAAGGGTTTAGCGTAAAGCATTTAGAGTGCTCGGTATGACTAGAGAAATGTCATATAAACTCAGTCTGCATGTATTATCACTGCTAACTGCCAGCTGGCTGTCAGATCAGGATCACTGATCAAACTAACCTCCTCCTGCTGCAGATATGACCTCATTTCCTTTAGAAAGATCACACACACAAAAAAAATCTCCCTATAAATGGTTGTCAAAAAGGGTACAACACGTCTCCCTGGCAGGTGAGAGCTGAAGCCTAGTAATGACAGCTTTATTTCGTACCAAAACAGGCTGAAAGAACATGGAATAAAATGGTGATGGTGGGGAAATGACCAGAACTACCACAAATAAAAAGAAACCTGAGTCCAACTGGGGGAGGAGGAATAAAGGCTTTACTCTGACAGAGAGAAAAGAATAAAAGATAAAATCTTTTTAGAGCTGATGGAGGAGAGGGGGAGTGGAGAAATTCTTTTGTTTGGGAAAACAGCACTTGAGTGGTAGTGTACGCTCACACCAGAAACATGAACCGGGTTCTAGACCTAATAAGTAAAAGGTTGCTGTCCTGGTCCGGAGACCTCAATGCACAACAAAAAAAAAAAACTCTAAAACAAACTTTTCTTTTAAGCAAATAAAGTCTCTTTAAACATACTTTATGTGGATTTAAAGTTTTCTTAATGTTTCATTTATAAAATATTACATATAAGATAAAATGAGAGACATCAACTACATGAGGATAGGCAGTAAACTTAAAGCCATCAAACCATTTTAACTTTCCCTCATTTTGTATCTAACTAAACGGCTGTATTTAAACTACCCTCAAATAAACTCTATTTACAATCTAGGCTTGAAGGTAGTTGGTTTATCTATTTCTTCTAATTCAGGGTTATGGGAGAAAGGGAGGGGTATAAACAAACCACACACTTTACAGATCTCTATCTGCAAAGGAAACTTCAAAACTTTGTTTTCTGTCTGCTGGTTCACAATAAACAAACAGTAGTTTAGGGCTTCGACCCACAGAGGCGGGTACTGGCTGGTCTAAAGCGGTATAACGGTCTAATAAGAGTTATATCATATCATATCTATTTAAAAAATCATCTCAGAGAATATTGTGGAGTTTGGACCAAATTTGCTCCAACATAATTTCTTAAGAAAGATGTTGGATCTTTTAATATTCTAATGCTTTTCTGAACAGTACATTTGTTGTGTTAAAAGAAAACCACAAGTTCCCCATTGTGGGACAATTCTATTCTATTCTATAAGGTTACAAATCCAAACATTAGAAACGTAGAGTCTATAACCAAATAAGGGATTAATAATAATTAGCCGTAGGATGATCACATTGTCTTCTAGCTAATATAATCAAACTATAATTTAAGTTTCACATGAAAATATTGTTTTGTTGTTTGAAAGCAGCAGATAAATGTCTTCCTCCTGCATCGCAGAGTCTAGATGTTCTTGTAGAACTGAGCCTAGTCGGACAGAAGGTTGCAAACACACAAGAGCAGCTGAACTAAAACAGGATTACCACCTCAGTGAAATCAGTAAATAAAAGACAAACTGATGCTGAGAAGACTCCCTTCTTAGGGATTAACAGAAGAAACAATCTCATTTCTCCTTCATGTTCGCCATGTGAGGCTTTGTCGTAGAATCGGGTTGATTCGCTATAGAGACTTCTGCTGTTTTTTTTGGGTTTTTTTTTATTTACTCACTCAAACTGTGGATTGAATTATTACACAGCTAAACCGACTGGTGCTAACTTTAACGGAGCACAATCAGAGTCTTTCAGCAGAACCCGTCCATGTGACACCATTAACGATTCATTAAATCAACAGCAGCCTTTCAAGCATGAACTTCCAACAGGAAGTTCTTGAGTGTTCCACATAGCAGCATAGTTCACAATAAGTGCAAGTAGTCAGACGCTGAGCAAAAAGAAACTTCTTCCAACTTTAGCTCTTCTTAACAACACTTCGTCATGGAATGAGGGGGGAAAACAACCTTAAAAGTGGAATAAAGGAGTACAAAACACAACCTATGTAACCGTAGTCTCCCTTCTGTGGCTTCTGCCTTTCATCTGAGACAAAGACGCCCAGTGTGGGGGAGACAATGTCGCGCAGCCACACCCTGTTCAGCCAGGTAAGACGGACCAACAGGCCAACCTCCAGAGACAAGTAACACGCTCACATTCAGCCCAGGAAACAAAAACAACAAAGACACGCCCTGCTGCTCCATGTAACATCATAAGATCCCATTTTCAGCAGTGGACGTGAAAGGAGGAGGGGCGCACACAAAGAGGTATTAGCTTTCCTAAAACAATATATCTTTCACAACCAGGATCTTTGGAACACTCTGTGGTTATCTGGATTTTAAAAAGGTAAAGGATCAGAGAGGTGTCAGCCAATTTTTTTTGCTCCCTTTATTTTAAAGAAGGCTGTGATTTTGGACCGGATGAGACAAACCGATATGGCGATTACTGTAGTGTTCTGAAAAATGTGGTGAAACTTTATCCCTTGAGCATTTTGTTTGGTTTTTAATTATAAATGGAAAACGGAATAAAAAACAAGTTATTTCAATAAAATAAATGAACGATTCCTTTATTCCAAATAAGTCGCAGTGTGTTGCTTTGTTTCTTTTATATGAACAAACTAGAAATGTTTGGATATTTCATATCAGTAAAGGAAAACAGATGTTACAAGAAATAAGCTGGTCGCTGGACATGAGGCTATGAACCAACGGCAAAAAAAAAAAAAATTACATAAATAAAAAAAATATGTATATTTTTTCTAACTTTAGATGCACTTCTACCTTCTGAATTGAATTGTTTATTTTGATTAAATCGTCTATATATATATATATATATAATATATATATATATATATTTTTTTTTTTTATAACTTTAGATGCACTTCTACCTTCTGAATTGAATGCTTTATTTTGATTAAATCCTCTAGGATGCAGCTGCATTTGTTTTAGGAAAAAAAACACTAAAGTAAGTTAGGTTAGAAAACCAGACTTTTAAAGAAAAAGTAAACTAAATAATGACATTTGAACAACACTCTTCAGTTTGGAAGCTGTTACAGAAGAAAGAAGCTATTTTCTAATTTCTCTTTCTTTTAAGCTTCTTTGTTAGACAGGGGCAGAAATTTCAGGTAACAACAGGAAGACTAATTGTACGACTAAAATTACTGTTTGGGATTTTAGCCCGTCTGCCTCAAAACATGTTGGATTCAGAGACATGTTTGAATCCTTTTAGTTTGAGGTAAGGGTCTATATTCCTTTACCCTAACACATGGAGACAACCGTTTACAGTTATTTAGCATGCTAAACCTGCTAACAGCCATGTAAAATGCTACACAAAAAAAAGAAAGCAGACATCTATTTGATCTGTTGTCTTACCCTAGCTGTATCTTTACCCGAAACATAAAGTGTTAGTGTTAAAAAAACTAAATATTTTTATTTAGATGCAACAGATGCCTGTCTTCTTTTATTCAGTGAAAACAAAGCTTAAAATGTTGACTTTGTACCATTTCAATGCTGTTAAAATGAGACCACACACACAGTCAGCTTTCCCCCTCACCTTCAAAAAATAAACATTTGTTTTTCCTATCAACCAGTTTTAGTTTTTAGACCGATTACATTGTTTTAAATATTAACAAAAAACAAAAAAACATTATTAACTTATACAGATTTCATGCCACATAGTCTGCATCCCTATAAATTAAGGACTGCATCAAAGCGAGGAGATTAGTAGAAATGTTTCAATTAGAGATGTGCCATATCATGACAAAATCAGTATCAGGTGACGTTGGTCATTTTCTGCCAAAAAGGGCCAATATTAACCGATTTGCCAAGGCAGAAAAGGATTGCTGGAGTTTAAGTGAAGTAGAGAAACAATATGAGCATTGTGGTCTGTTTTCTACAGTGTCCAAAGAAAGGGGCCATATTGGCAACATAAATAACAGAAATCAGAATCGACCCAGAGTTTCATATCCCTGCATCCCTTGTTTGTATAATTATAGTTCTTTTAGATAGTGAATTAGCTCATACTTATACAGACATGTTTGTTTTTTCTTTGTTCAATTAGCCACCATGCTGCAATCAGTACTTCTGTTCCTCCTACTTTTAATAAAACTGTTTACAAACATACATTTTGATAAGGAATCAATATGGACTACTGAAGTAAGGAACAATGTATAATAAGCTCAAGAGACTTCCCTTCCTCACTCAACTTAAAAGTTACGCAATAGGTAATTGGAAAAATCAAATTGACTAATAACAAACGATGCCTTAGTTAATAAACAGAAAACTTGGGTTACCTTGGCGACAGTGTGTACAGGGCAGACAGCGGGTCATCCCGTTGGGGTGCTCTGTGTAGGTCTGTCCGTGCTCGCAGGACAAACAGGTTCCTTGTTCTAGATCTTTTTCACATGGCTTATTCACAAATGTTCCTGCAAACAGAAGAAAAACAAAAAAAAAACAAAATCAGACCACAACCCATCACACCTTAACTATATACCTCAATGACGCAACTAAATGGATGTCCTGTGAGCATTAATTTCATTACGGCCATGCACTTCCTACTGATCCAGTACTACAGCTGGGTACCCCGCCGTTTCAGACTGCGCTACAGTATAGCGACGCTAATAACAAAAGGAACAGTTGTTTCTATGTTTTACATGAGGTTTTATCATGGAATGCTTATATCACAGCCACTATAAGAAGGAGCGATTTAGTCAACTACAAAGTGATTTGACCTACTTTGCTCTGCTGGATTATCGTACTTATCATCTCTACCATCAGCTCAAGCATGCAATGAATAAAACCACTTGATTCTCATGTGTTTTCAGGATTTATCTGATGTACAAATGGAAAGAAAAGGGGGAAAAAAAGAGTAGGGGGGGCTCGAGGGTTACAAAACACAGCACAGACCTCTCCCACTTGAAATGTTCTTTTACTCCTGGAGCTCAAGATGTCATATTAATTTAAAGATTACTGGTCGCAGGAAAAAAAAAAAAAATCAACACACCTCTTTAATCCATTTATATTTGCTAATTAACAAGAACTAATTAACACAAGGGAAAACAAACATGAATAAGACGCTGTAGAGCTGTCAATAGAGAGTGAAGGCCAAGAGGAATAAATCAGGGATTTACTTATGAGTCCTCAACTGCATGCATGTGCATAAATTATACACTGATTGAAGTTTACAGTTTAAGAGGGAATCTGTTTAAGAGGCAGAAAAACAAAAAAACAAACTTTAAACCAAAATTAAAGATTAACTAGATAAAGTATAAAACCAATCTTTTTCCCCCTCACCAATTAAATAACCCAATAAGCCATCAGTAGAATACAGTACTGCTTTTTGGCTCAATATATTCCGATCTTGGGGATAGTTAAATGGTTTATCACATTATGTATATAATTAATTGAAAATGTTTTTTTTCTTTTAGTGACTTGGACCTTCAAAACAACTCTGACTTCAAGCCCTGCAGTTTCCACTTATTTTGTGCTTCTGCTCAGACAGAGCGACGGGCTTTCCGCTCCTGGCCGTCCTGCCTTATTTCCAGACAGAGCTGGGAGGACGACATTTTTAAAGATTGGCAAACTTTAGAGGAGGAAAATTATGACCCCTGAATAAAGGAAGCAGGCACCAAACTCTAACCATAGCACTGATTTATAAAAATTAAACGAAAAGTGAAAAAAATAAAAGACAAAAATATATAATCCCAAAAAACTTTGGAATAAACTACTCTAGTCAGAATGACTATAATGGTTCTAATGTCTGAATGAGCTTCCTGAAAATCTGATAGGGATTAAAAGCCAAAAGAAAAATATTGTTATTTGGTAATTCACTATTTATTTGTGCCTTGCTTTGCGCCTGTAGACAGATGGAGACAGGCACCAGCAGCCCTCACTACCCCAGCAGGGATGAAGGGTGACAGAAAATGAATGGATGGACTATTTTAGTGAGATTTTAAAAGACTCATTATAGCAAAGGTAGGGTAACCCTTTTGAATTTACTCGAGTTCATTAAAACAATAAAAAGAATAGCACTTCCAGGAGCAGTTACCACACTTCTACTTTTATTCTCACTCAAAGTTATATATCACAAAGCATCACTTCTCAGTTGAGGAAATGCTTTAGCTACTCTGATCTTCCAAACACCTTCGCTGAATGAAGAACAAAATAGTTTGAAAAAAATCACAAAACATGATTTGAAAAGTGCTTCTTTTTTCTGGCTGAATGTAAACATTTTGTTTATTTAAGTATTTGAAAAACAAGAGTTTGAACAGAAGTTTAAATTTCTGTCTAATGGCATCACTTTCAAATATCTAATCCACTGCATGATCTGGAACTCCTGACATTATCAACATTTTAAACAAATACTTCTTGGATTACAGTTTCTTACTTATATGAATATAGGAAATATTGGGACCCTTATATAAGTACAATCTATGGCAACTCTGCATTAAAGCACATTATTAGTCAGCCATTAAAATCTGACTTTAAGTTAAAGAAAAACTTTAAAAAAATTTTGTTTACATTTTAACTTTAATTTCTTTGCTAAATGTAATACTTTGTAGCCTAAGTATTGGGTTATATTTGTATTTTATTTATTAATGTCAATCATTTTTTTGTTTTTGCTTGTTTTACAAGAATGTAAAACACATTTGTAATTTGTATTTCTTACATTTTTGTTTTTTTTTTTTTACATTTCATCCCTTCATGTCTCCTTTTATGTGTGGAGTAGAAAATATTAGCATTTACAATCCTACCTAAAGTGAGCATTTTAACTTACAAAGTTAATTGCATTTTATCAAATGACACCTTTCTTGGACTTTAAAAAAACTGCCTTGTCAGGTTATTTGTTATTTAAGGTTCCTTTGGGTTTAAACTCATTGATTCCAAGGTTAACAAACTAAATATTTTCTTTTGGGATTACGTCACAAAACAGGATTATACCATCAAACAGAGAAATAAAGAGAAATAAATATTGGTGTTCAAGTGGAATTATACTTAGAGTTGTTTTGTTATTTTTTAGACCACTGAGGGTAAAAAAGAAAAGAAAGACAAACTTTCATATGGGGTTTAAACATAAATAGGACTTGTTAATGGAAAGTCTCAAGTTAAGAAAAAATCATTTTAATTTAACAGCAGCAAAGACAAGTTCTCAAATGTTTCCAGGTCTCAAGGCATAGCAATTGTCTGAGTGACTTTTATCACTATACACAGTGTGCAACCCTGCCTCCAGCTTTCAGCAGGTTAAGCAGGATTAGGGAACATGGAGCAGTGCTTCTAATGGGACAGTAAATACAGTTTCCTGACATGCAGCTGGGACTTTAACCTTCTTACCCTCCTTGCAGTTGAGGCAGCAGAGTCCCTGGTTGAGGTATTGCTCATTCTCCACACATGTCCTGAGTCGCCGCAGGGTGAGGTTTCTGCCCTCCTCTCCGGACCACTGGGAAGCCGGGGGTTCTGCCGCGCGGCAGACAAGCCCCAGAAGCAGCGATGCCACGGCCACCTGCATCATCAAGGACAGGGAAAAGGAAAAAAAACCCAAGACATTAGCTTTGATTTACTTTTTGTGTTTACAGACAACACACACACTCGCCCACTTCAACTCATCTGGTGGAGGGCAGAGAAGAAGAGAGCCCATCTTCATAGGAAACCTTGTGTGAGCAATCTATGACTTAATGCAAACCATCTGATCTGAACATCTGCTGTGGGAAAGCAATTAAGGGAGCCATGCAGCTGGTCACAACTAGGAGCAACATAATCTCGTGAAGGCAGGATGAGGAAACGTACACCAACTAAATTACATGCAGCGCAGCATGCAGCCCAAATTTAATTACTCCACCATCTAGAGGTTCAAAAGGACAGAAGCTGCTTCATCTATGGTAGGTGCGACAGAGAGAGTTTGGTAAGGTTCCTCAGATAACGGACCAGAAGCTCATATCAAATGTGAATACAGAGATCCATTCAAGTGTTAGATAATAACAGGCCTGTATAGGTGGGGTACAGAGAAGAATATAGCCCAACACTTTAGCGTGCCCCCCAGGCGCTGGTGTTTATTCACACGCTTTTCACCATGTCAACGTGAGAAGGCTCCATTCACCGGCAAACAACCCACTTTAGTGCTTCTACTTCAAATGACCCACATTCTTTAACCCTGGCTCTTTGAATGCCAAGACATGCGAAACCACAGCGAAGCGCCTAAAACGCAACAGGACACCTCCCTTGGTAAATGAGAGTCCTAGATCTGGAGGTTTTGTCTCTCCTGTGCGGTGGCCAACCCCCCCACCATACAGCCACCGCTGAACCACTAGAGGTTAAAAGGAAGAGAAAGAAAGAAGGACAGAGAAACTGTAGACAACAAGCAGAGGATGGGACGCAAGGCGGAGAATAGATGCCCTAAAAAGAGAGAGTGTGGGAGAATGAGAGGGATAAAGAGAGAAAGGATGGACGGGCTGGAGAAGAGGCTCATGACGCTGGATTTGACTCTCTGGAGGCCCGCCATGCCTTGTTGTTCAGAAGAACTTTTCCCTTTTTCTCTCTGCCTTTCCCCTTCTTCCTCTCCCTCTCCTCGCGTCAGACTTTCCAAACACGCTCAGAGGCAGACGACCGGCAGAGCAGTCACAATCGCACCATTTAGATCTATCCAAACATTCTGGGGAAGGGGAGGGTGGAAAGCAGGAGGGAAGGAGAGGAAAAGGGAGGGAGATAAATGAGAGAGGGGACTAACAGCTTGCACGACACAGGGTGAGTCTTCGCCTGAATACGCTGTGTGTGCGCGTGAGCAGAGGCTGGGATTGGGGGGGGTGTGCTTTCAAGGGGCATGGAATCGGGAGAAGTAGAAAGTCGTGTGAAAAGGAAAGAGTAAAATCAGCGTATAAGCACATGTGAAAGGCAAAGCAGTGGAAAGAAAAGAGATGACTGGGAAAATGTGAGCTGCACTGAAGGTAATCCTGTTCCATAACACAGATGCAGAACGTGACATTCCACCGAATCCAAATGCTTTAAGCCAATCCCGAGTTAAAAGGCGGGTGTCCATTTGACGGTGCACAGATTCCCTGATCTTTAAAACCATTCCAAACAAAATCAGCTGCAGTTGTTTAACACTTGGGACCACTGGTCCGGTCTACTGTATGGTGCAAACTCCCACCTTCTGTTGGTGCGGTTTGCTTTAACAGAGCCAAACAACATCAAGCAGTTGCAACAGTTTGTACAGAGAGCAGTATTACTTCAGTACTGCACTTTTTGAGAAGAAACATAAAGCAGAAAGAAGAAAGTCTATAAAGGTTTCTTTTGCTAATCAAATGCCTGCATTTCTTCAATACCTATAGCCCCACCAGACACGTTCAAACTATTTTGTCCTTACGATAGAGCTCCAATTTTCTACTTCTACCCTAATGCTTTACTTTTATGTTATTATGTATTTCTGTTTTTGGTACTGTGGGATAGGAAAGCAATCCCCCTCCAGGGTTTCAACAGACCGTTCTAGGTATGGTTAAGGGTCCTGGAAGTTCACATCAGCGATTTCCGCTCCAGCAACAAACTCTGAAGTTTAAAATTTGGGCAGTTCACGACACATATTTGTGGATCTAAATGAGTTTTATTCAGCCAGAATCGGACTAAATGGCTGTTTGGAAATGGCTGGTGTGGGGGAAAGCTTTGCTAAAACAAGAGATCGAAAAGGCTGTACCAGGGAATGTTGTTTATTTCTAAAGAAAAAATAGCAATGCAAGGTAGATTGTGTAAAACATCCTCAGCTGAGGTCCCTCCATGTTGTATAAAGCATATTTACATGTCAAGACAGTAGATGATGCTAAATTGTGCAGCCCAACTTAAGGGCTAAGTCAGTGCTGTACTCATTTATAGATCCATGGATCTTGTTTTCTTTATTTACTTAGTTTTGAGATATGAGTGACCTTTATTTTTAAAGTGATCCAACAGGAAATGGGTGGAGAGAGAGAGGGGGAAGACATGCTGTAAAGGTCTCTATGGGACTCTAACAAGGGACAACTGTGTAGAGAATGTAGACATCTGTACACTGCCGCGCCAAAACCTGCATGGCAAATGCAGCATTTTTAAATGCTCTTTTTTTGCACCTCAGTTAATTCTGAGAAGCGGAACTGTTAGTTTTCTCAAACTAAATGAATATTTCTGTTTTATAAGAGCCTAAGGTTATTTAGATTACATCTGCAAAGGTAGCGTCTAGGCAGGGGCCACATTCATGCAAAAAAAAACCAACCTGTGTGCTAGTCTTCATTATTGTTCCAATAGTTGTTTGTCGACTTCATATTTGCATGCACAGTTTTTTCTTAGTTTCAGAACATTTTGTGCTTTCTGTTTTCTCCTCTTTAAAGAACTTGTCTCCTTAATCTTATTTTTTTAATTTGTTAAATTTTGTTCTACGTGGCATGCTCCTTCAATGTTTATTATCTTTTTGCAATCACTCTGTGTTCTTTTGGTATTATGTTTGGAAATGTTGTCCTTGTTAATGTGCTGTGGAGAGGGCCAGGCCTTGGGGAGACATTTTCTGTTTTTATTTTCTTTCTGGGTTTTGCGATATGATGCTGTTGTGTACTTTGCTACTGGAGCTACAAAACTATGCTTTATATCTACAATCTGATTAAGCAGTAGGTTAGTAGTTCCAGCTCTAAGGAGTACAAAATACAGATTCCAAAAAGTAAAGATAGAGTTATTTTATGATAAAGCCAAGTCGCACAATAGCTTCTCAATGCCCCAGTGAGAGAAATAAATAAATTCTCTTCCTCAGCCGGAGAGAACCCTGCTCCGTGTCATTTCTAAAACAGAGTTTTGATACGTTTAATCTAACAACCAAACACTGCGGACTCAGAAACAAAGTGGCAATGATGCACTCTGGGCGTCCAAAGAGCGGTTTACTTTTACCTCCTTCACAGAGCGAGGAGTAAGACCAGAGTGACCGTAACCTCAGTGTGGAGAGCCCTTCAAACCCACAATCCCTGGAAGCTCTCCAGAATCAGCTGAAGTGGTTCAGTTCACTTCACAGCCTCCTCTATCCTCTGTACAATGAGCGAACTCGGCTGCAGATTATGTCTCACAACACTGTCCTATTGTCATTGTCCGAATCAGTGATAAGTTTGTACAGTGCCTTTGTGGATATGAGTTAAATTAATAAAAGTTACAATAAAATAATGAGGGACTTTCTGTGTCTGACAACAGTGGCACTCCTCCACTTCCTCTAAACACCCTGGGTTCCTCCAAATTGCCTTGGAACAATCCCTCCATATGCCACGAACACTGAGGACGCATTTATGCCTAAATGACAGGACATCCTTTCAGATGACCCAGGTTATCAATGGGCCATTTAGAGGCCTGTGATAACTTCATATCCCTGAGGGAATAACATTGGTGGAAAAAGGGAAGGAAAAGAGAAAATGCAGGGGAAAAAAACTACACCAAACAATGTATAGACGTCCAAAGCAACATCATTCCCTCCATATCAGATGGATGTTTTCAGTCCAATTCGGCAAATAAGCAATGACCTGATGCACCTCATTATATTCCAATGTCCGGAGAGGGGACCTGGTTTCCACATCATGCTGCTCCAATTAGAAAATCCTTTTCCGTTATTAGGGATTGGACCTTTACAACAGTTCTGTCAACGTAAATCCAAGCCGGCATAATATTCCTAGTATCTGAATGCCTGTCATATCGAACTTGGACTATCAGGGGAATGAAAAGAAAAAAACAGTGCAGTGTTAGGCTGATTAAACACCAGTGAAGGCAGTTTATATGATTATGAATCATGTCTCTGATTCTCTATCCTTCATGTATGTTCATTCTGCTTTGGGGAGAATAGTTAGTACTCCAGTATATGATGGGGTTGATGAAGCAGCATGCTTGATGTTAAAAGTTCATAAGTTATTAAAACTGAAAGGGTGTATTGCAATTCAAATGTCAAGATACATATGCCTTCCCCGTTCACCTTAGCAGAACTCAATATTTAACACAGCAGTCTCAAACAACTACAAAGAGAGAGAGAGAATGAAAGCAGATCAGAGCTGCCGCAACTTCAAGCCTGACTCACCGTCAGGTGAAAATCAGATCCACAACAATCAAAGATTAGCAGGCGGGGTCACGAGGAGATTTGAGCTGGATTTTTTGAGGCAACTTTTTTGACTAAATTCTAGATCTGAAAGTTTCACAAATCAAATCTGGATCTGAATAAATCAGTTCAGGTTTGAATCTTTTTGTCAAGCAAGAGCCCATTCAGCGCAGTCCCATTGCTGAAATACTGTCCTGAGATCTTAATGAATTATATGTCTTTTTTATTTGACTTTTTACATCAGGAAACAAATAAAAACCTTGTTTTAAACAGGTTAAGAGTAGATATAAGGACTTCGTTTTGCAGCTTAGATAAACAGAGAGCAAATGATAAAAAAAGAGCTTTATTTTGGCAACTAATTAAAAACTAAATACTAGATGAAAATAAATTTGTTTTCTTTAGGTGTTTATGGTCTTAAATCAAGTTTT